AAAGACCAGAAAAATCAAGTGTAATTTGAAATTTGACAATATGCAGAATGACTAATAAATTTTATTTCAGTTATATAAAATGTATGTTCCCTTTTGTTTTTTGGTTTTTGGTTTTCTTTGTTTTTTTTTAATTGGTCAGCTGTTATCTGACATCTTACAGTAGTTTCTGTTCTTTTTCAAGGGGACAGTTCTTTGCAAATTGGCATGAATGGTAGCATGGCCTGCAGGAATGAACCCACGGTGCAAGCTGGAAGTCTTGTTCTGTGGACTGATATGTACGCATATCTGAAAACCCTTTTGGTGATGTCTCTGCCTGTTTTGTTTCTGTTTGCACACTTAATGCAAAACTGAGAACCTGCAACAAAGGGATAAGGAAATGGGTTGATATTTTTACACTTGGTATCCAGAAGTTGTGAAAGAGGTGTCTTTTTAAAACAATGGTCTCTATATAAAGCGTCTGCTGTGCGTTTGTTCCTTTGTGTTATTTTCACTGTCTCTTGGGTTGGGTTTGGTTTGCGGTGTTTTAACTCTCCAGAAATATTGTTGCCTTCTTGCAGCTAGAAAGTAATCCTCTTATCCCCAAGAGGATCAGTAGGCTGGAATAGACTGGACATGAATTAATGCTGCCCTAGTTAGCATAAAACTGGAATTTTCTTGTAAGACTTGCTTTGTGGCTATTTTTCTGCATCTAGCCATGAGTCCGGGTTTCTTTGGCTCAGTTTCCCTTTGATAGTGATTTGTTGCTTGCTTTAGTATCCCTCTGCAGAAAGAGGGAATGCTTCAAAGATTTATCTTTGAATCTTTTTCAGTCCTTAGGAGCAGAAGATTCTCTTCTGTGATTATTCTGATTGTAATGCAGTAAGGCTGACTGCAGATATATATATATATGTATATATGTATTTAAAAGATGAAAAAGTAGAATTCAGTCTGTATTTGGGAAAAAAATACTTCACTTTTTTTTATTTGATGGCCCTTTTTTGAATTCAAAAACTGTCTTGAACTCAACTGGCAAGTTATTGCTGAATATGTATTGAAATTGCATATTTTCTTATTTACCTAATTTTGATGTAATCACCAGAAGAAATTCATGACAAGTAATCATCCTCTTCTATCAACATGTACACAGAAAAAAAATACATTAGAATAGGAAAGAGAGTACAACTAAGCCTCTTCCAGTGTTCGTCATTTCAAATACCTGTGCTCTTGCCAATTGTGAAGGCGAATTCTTCTTTCCACAATGAACAGCGGAGTCCCACACCAGGTGTGTTTCCCATGCATCAAACATTGCCTTAATGATAGCTGAGGTAATTTGGTATTGAATTGCTTACTTATGTGCTTTCCTCTGGGGCAGATAGTGTCTGATGTAGCAGGTCAGGACTCGTTTTCAGCATGACACTGATGTGATACAACAAGTCTTAATCTCAGCTAGTGCTGACGAATAGCTCCCACTACTTGAGACTGACCATGTGTATGCACAAATCAGTGGACAATGTAGAACTTGTCCTCCTAAGAAAACAGTTTACTTATTAAATGTTATCTGACAAAAATATATAAAGTGATTTTTTTTTTTTATTTTACTTCAGATTCTTATGCTCATGATGATTTCTTATTCATTTTGTGAACATGGAATTTAGGAAACAATAGAATGCCATACAGCTTGCATGAAACTAAAACGGGATCTGTCTGAGAAAATAATTAGGCTTGGAGGAGAGGTTTTCCTTTGCAGGATGTTTCTGGAAAGGAAAGAAAAATAGAACAAATGGTTATGTAGGGCCTCATATTACAGACTCTTCTCTGTGATTGTCTAGAAATTGAATTAACCTCTCTCTTGTGCATATTGTTTAAAATGTAGCTTAGGAAAGGCTACACAGAGGTTAGGACTCTGAAGGGCTAATAATCAGAAATAGTAGCAGAGGTCCTCACACTGGTAGAAGGGGACAACTTGTGACAAAAGGAAAGGAGGGGAAGAGAGGGAAGAGAAATGTTAATTTTGGCAGTAGAGCTGACAGAATAGATTTGTCTCCAAGGCAAATATGTTGTAGAAGTAGGCCAAAGGGGTCTGCTGAGTAAACAAATGGAAGTTTGTTAGTTCTTTCCAAAAATTATACTTTCTGTGTGCACTATCTAGGCAACAGAAGACAGAAAAGGAACTTAGTATTATTTTAATTACTGAAGACAATTGCATATAACTTTAATGCCACTACCAACTGATGGTTTTGCTTTCAGGAATAAAACATCTATTGTTCATAAACACAGAGAGCTTGCCCACAATTATGATGTTATTAAGGGGACTTGTGTTCTGGTAGGTTTCTTAACTCTGCATTCTGAAGTAAGCATGACATTCCAAGTTTTACAATGTAATATTTTTAGAAGGATGTTTTAAAACACTTTATGTTAATTGCATGAAGTTTGTCATTAAAAAGAACAATAAAAGTGGGGCAGTTCAATTTTAAAAGATTCCTCACTGATTGCTGTTTTATAGTATCTGTCATCCTGTAGTGCTGTGTGCTTTTCCTAAATAGGTAGAGAGAGTTCTATAACTCCTTGGGGTTATTTAGGTTTTTGGGGGTAATGGGAAGTCATCTGATAGAGGGGAAAAAAAGTTTTAATTCTGAGATATTATGGGATGTAGCTGCAAAAATTATCTCATCAACATGTACAAATTAAAAGAAAAATACCAAATTTTTTGTGGCGAATTTAAAGTATTTAAAAATTATTTCTAAAAATTTGGTCTTCTTTTACTTTGCATTGAATATCCATAAATTTCTGAGGTTATATTTTTTTAATTTCAAAAAAAACATACCGGAGAAGAAAACTAAAAGTTGGAGGGGGAAGATCCCCTTTTAGGCTTTTTGTCAATAGTTGCTTATTTTGTCCTTATTCTCATTAGAGCAAGATTTTAATTTTGGAGTGGCAGAGGAAGAAGGAAAGGAGGGAAGGGAGAGGACAAGGAAAAACACAGATTAGTATTATGGGGTGAGAAGGGAAGAAAGAGTGGTAAAGATCAGAGTGGATTTGCAGAACTGGAATGGGAATAACAGCCCTGGCAAGGCTTGGCAAAATTTGTTTTCAGGATATAGGGACAATTTGAGAGCAGAAGGATGGTTGCTTCTGAGTGATTTTCCTTTAATGACACTCCAGTCTGCTTCTCCTCCCTGCAAAAATGCACAGCAGACACTATAAACCAAGAATTACCCACTTCTCATACTTGCTGGGCTGCCAGAGATAGAGATAAATCAGGACATAGCCTAGGGTAATAGGACTACCTGAGATGAGGGCATGAAACAGAAAAAAGGTGGGAACAGGTACTTTGATCACAGCAGTATGGGCTGAGAATATAGAGTACTTTACACTGGCAAATGCTTGATTGACCTGATGTAAACAAAATTATGCTGTGCTTTTACCTACTTGTAAGTCACCCTAGATAAGTGTCTGTTTTGTCTGTACCTAAATCCAGCACTTTTGTTGGGGCATACCTTTTTGGTACTGGAAGATGTAATACTTACACATGTAAAAATCCAGGCCTAGGAAACCAGTTTAAGTTCTTGATCTAAAGCAAGAGTAAACCTATTTAAAGCTTACCAATATGGAAACCGTGTCATGGAATTATGTTATGTTGACTGGACAAGATGGACAAAAATCCTAGAATCACAGAATGGGTCAAGTTGGAAGGGACCACAGTGGGTTATCTGGCCCAGCCTCCCTGCTCAAGCAGAGCACACAGCGCAGGATTGCATACAGACAGTTCTTGAGTAACTCCAAAGTGGGAGACTCCACACCCTCTCTATGCAATCTCTTCTAGTGCTCAGTCACCCGCACAGTAAAGAAATTCTTGATAATATTCTGGTGGAACTTCTGTGAATCACTTGCCTGTTGTCTCTTGTCCTACTGCTTGACACAACTGAGCAAAACCTGGATCCATCCTTTTGATACCCTCCCTTCAGATACTGATACACGTTCATGAGGTCCTGTCTCAATTGTCTCTTCTCAAGGCTGAACAGGCCCAGCTCCCACTCTTGTATGAGAGATGCTCTAGTCCCTTAAGTATCTCTTTTGCCCTCTCAACAGGAGCTCCAGAAGCTCCATGTCTTTTTTGTCCTGAGGAGCCCAGAAGTGGACACTGCATTCCAAAAGAAGACTCACCAGAGCTGAGTAAAAGTGTGGGATCACCTTGACCTGCTGGAATGCTCTTCCTAATGCATCTCAGGTCACCATTGACCTCTTGGCCACAAGTACACTGCTGGCTCAGGGACAGCTTGGTCTCCACCAGGACCCCCTGGTCCTTCTTCCACAAGCTGCTTTCCTGCAGATCAGCCTCCAGCCTGAACTGGTGTCTGGGGTTTTTCCTTCCCAGGTGCAAGACCCTGCAGTTGCGTTTGTTGAATTTCAGCTGGTTCCAACCTGCCACAGTCCCTCTGAAGGGCTGCACAGTCCTCTGGGGTATTGGGTACCAGCTTGGTGTAATCAGTGAACCTGCTGAGGAGGCACCTTCTCATCCAGCCAAGCCGTTGATGAATAATACTAGGCCAAATATCAGCCCTTAGGGGATACCACTAGTGACAGGCCTCCAGCTAGATTCTGTGCCACTGATTGCAAATTCAGATATTTTGTGTGCAGAATCAATGGGGTTTAGGTAGATGAGAGTGATAAATTATATCAAAGTGGGTTAGGCTGTGGTCGAAACAAGCCAATGCACAAATTATGAAGGAAAAACTCGTTTACCAAAACCAGGACAGGAGGTAGTTTTAAGATGTAGATGTGCTGTGTATGATTTTCTTAGTATTCAGAAATGTCTCCCTACCTTTTAAACAAAGTTTATTCTATCAAGTTATTTCTTTGTGAAATACTTTATTTGTTAAACACTTCAAAGCACCCTTTGCTGATTTCAGTAGCAATTTAGATTTTTGCAGCAGAGTGTAATGTCTTCTTGTGTGCGATGAGCCTGAACCAATCCTTTATATTCTTTTTTTGTTTGTCTTTCCAATGTGTGTGGGCTGCAGATGGTTCTGTGAAGGAAAAGAACTCCAGAATTCCCCTGACATTCAGATCCATTCTGAAAGTGGAGGACTTCATTCACTAATTATAGTAGAAGCCTTTGAAGACGACACTGGACGCTATACTTGTCTGGCTTCAAATTCTTTTGGTTCAGATAGCACATCAGCTGAAATATTCATTGAAGGTAAGAGATAAAATAATAAAATACTTGATGCATATAAGAAAAGATAGCTAAGCTGAAGATTACTTTTGGTTCTTTATCTTAACATTACATTCAACATGGTGTTCCTCTGCTTTTCTTTAACACAACACATTTTTAATATCACATCATATTAATTCAGATATTCCAAGGAATGTATCAGGAATTACTGAGTAGATTGCTATTTATTTAGGGTAGAAAAGAAAAAGAATGAAATAGAAGGAATATCATTAGCTTTTAAGCAGTATCTCTGTAAATCACTAGTTAAAGATTTGATCAGTTTTGAGCTGCCTCTCTGTGCAAAATTATATGGCTGCCCCAAATGAGTCTTCTTTAGTCATGTGTAAATGTACTATAATCCATTATCTTTGGTATACTGATTTTAAGTCAGATTGAAGTCAGTCATAATGGTTTTGTCCAGAAACAACTGCTCATTATTGTCAAAATATTTCCTGACTGCAAAATTAGTCATAACTCAAGTATTGTTTTCTCTGAGAAAAGTTAATATTAACCATTATTGAGCAAAAATAAATGCCAAATTGAAACGAATTTTAACCAAAAAATGTGAACAATAAATTATTGCCAGAAATAATGACCAATGAGCAAAACTGTTATTTTTAGCTTTGAAATTGTATTTCAGGCAAGATTATCTTAACTGAATACTGATTTTTATTTAATTCATACATCTCCCGAAAAATTGGATACTATATATTCTTTTACTAGTTTTGTAACTCATTAAAATTAATTTAAATGGTCACTTGAAAGCATAAAATAAATTAACATAAAAAATAGTCATGAGAAATCTGAATAATGCCACATCAAAATTATTAAATAGCTTTTGGTTAACAAGATAAAAAACTTTACACTTTTAATTAGCTAATCATAACAAATGTACCTTTATAGGATTTCTTTCATTATGTTCTTTATTCTCAGAAATTTTTAATGCCCCATTGGGATATAATAGCAAAATTTCCAGGACTTTTCTGAATCTTAGAGATTCTAATAAGGGTTTTCTTTACAGAAGTAATCAGGATATCAAAAATACTCAGGTATAGTGCAAATATATATTGCTGTGTGAAGTTATAAGGAGAGAAGCAACAGTAAAAGATGAAACAACTAGGTAGAGAGACGCTGTGAATAAAACCATTAATTCTTTGACATCTGCCAGTCTTGCTATATAGGAGCCCTGTCTTGAAGTTTTATAATGTTACTTTGAAAGAGAGAGACTTGTCCAAGTCATTATGCTCCTCCCCTGTCATTTTTAAGGAAAGCAGATTGACACACAATCATTGCTTTGTACATTAATAGACTTGATGATACCAATGCGTCATACTTTCTTTTGTGCAGCAGGCCCAGCCATGCAAGACCTGGTTGTTCTGTTTTCTTAAGAAATCCTTTCATGTAGACCCACTTTGATGACTGGACATGTACTTCTCTCTTCTCATCTATTCTGTGCTACTTATTGCTTTGATTTTTTTATAGCATAAATTTTGTAAATCATTAGGGTACTTGGGTATTTCAGTCCCAGCATTGTTTCATTGGAATCCATCTATGCTAGACTATGCATATTGATTATGAAATGCTTATGGTTTGTATTAAACATACAGCTATCCATATGTATGCACAAATTCCTTGAGGAATAATATGGACTGCATAAATGTCTAGACTAAATGTGTGAAGTATCTGTTGTTAGGAAAAACTAGGCAAAGGGAATAAATGCTTTCATATTTTTTTCTTAAGTAAGCTCAGGGTATTGCCAAACACATACATTATATCAAGACTTCCACTGGCAAGAAATAGCAGTACATAAATGTTATGTGTAGGTTAATGTAAATAGTCTGAAATGTGGATATCACGGGCAGCAAGTTTAGTCTGAAAATGTCTTGGTGTACTGCGTTGCTCTTGCTTGAGTTTGAAGATTTGTTATCTATGTATAAGCCATATGTTTGCTTAACCTTCAAATTTAAAATTTAAGTAAATAAAATTATACGTTTTCCGTAGAGCAATGGTACTCAGCATTTTTTTTTTTTTTTCTGTCTTGGCCATCTTTGTTTCAATATGAAGGGAGACAGCTAGGAGCCCAGGGAATGCAGTGTGCAATTAAATTGGCATGGTTATGATTTCTGTAACTGTCCAAAGTACATAGTTACAATCTTTATCAGATAAAAAAACTGCTGTATTTTGTTACAGAGAGTTCTCAATTCTTGAAGTGAAATGCAAAATTATCAGAGTTTTTTCTTTCAAATTTAAACATTGAATGAATCAATAAAAATATATGAGATTATTGAAAAAACTTTATTTTCCAGGTGCCAGTTCTACAGATTCAGAGACTGAAAGTTTAATTTTCAAATTAAAATCTGGAGCTATGCCACAGTAAGTGTGTAAAGCGGTACCAATATTGTGTAAATGTTCTTAATATGGGATACTGGAAAATCTTTGGTAGTTTTACAGTCTGGATAAGCATCTGGGGTACACTTGTGTATGTCTTGTGTTTTCCATTTCTGTCATGTGATATAAATATGTAGTATTATTATTGTAAATTGTATTAATTTGCTTGTTCTGTCAGAGAAGGCTGGCCTTACCCTGACAACATATTTGTTGATACCAACTTTTCATATTCAGTAAGTTCAAGTTAACCAAATTTTCACTTGTAGTCGCCCAGTCCAGTGCCTCTAAAGAAATATGTAGGGGACTACAATTAAAGAAACAAAATACAGTTTACTTTTATCTTAAATCAGCACTTTTTATTGTGTGAGGAAGAGTAAATTAGCCAAAGGTTGTGTTCTACTCAAGCTTCATCTCTCCATCTTGATCTTCATCATTCATGTTGATCTTTTCAGTTGATAAAGACATATTTAAATATGTAGAAAGTACAAGGTGGCTTACATATTAAAAACTAACACATTCTCATTTTAGATCCTATAAATCTCTTCCTGGGTTTTTATTTTTCAGGGCCCAAAAGAAAACCACTTCTGTTTCCTTGACAATAGGGTCTTCTACACCAAAATCAGGAGTGACCACAGCTGTAATTCAACCCATCTCTGTGCCCAGTCAGCAGGTATTTTAGACACCAGTTTTTAAATTAGTAAAAGTGTTTCAGATTTTCTTTCAAGATTTGTAAGAATCTTGACAGAGCTCAAAAGCTCTGTAATTTTGAGGAATTGTGTTGTTAAACTATAAACTTATATTACTATATTAAGAGTAATGATTTTTAAAAATTAAGTACCCACTGAATGGGACATAAAAGTAAGTATACATATGGATTCTTACATAATGTGTATATTACAAAGCATTTGAGCAGCAGACAGATCTGAGGATGATGAATATTATGGAATTTATCACTTAAGAGTGACTTGTTCAATCCCAAAAGAATATACTGCAAATGAATGCCTGTAATATTTTTTAGCAAAAGTTTTAAATTTTGTTATTAAATTTAATATTGATTTTATATTGATTTAATATTAATATTCCCTTTGAGAGAAAAATTAATTTTACTATCTAGATGTTAAATATAGAAAATTGTTGTTCATTGATTTGTACTAAGTCTTTAATGCCACTGTGGCTAACTTAGAGTTTACATGTAAATCATAAAATACAAACAAAATTAATATATCTGTTAGCCTGTACACGATTCTTTTCCCTTTCTTAGGCTAACCTTGGTAAGCTTTTAGGTACCTGGGTTTATTTATCAGTGCATAAGTGAAGTGATGTAGTAGCAGGAGAAACAAAAATGCTTCAGTGCAAAGGATTCACTTGAATGTATTAACAGGAGTCAAATTCTCAAGATACTTTTAGGCAAAGACAATTGGATAAAAAATTCTCATTGGAAGTATAGAAGCCTTCAAAGCTTGCATTTTGATTTCAGAAATATGACAGATGTAAAATAGTGATGTCTCCCAAGAAGTATGGTAGAAAGAGAACACCATAAGACTGCACATGTGAGAGTTTGCATTTTTGCATATGTGCAGGCGCAATGTCATTGAAACTAGTGTTGTTTCCATTTTATAGCATTGTTGCATTGCTCTGCAGGTTCAAAGCCCTACTTCATACCTGCACCATCTGGATGGACCCAAGCCTATCTATTCTGCACCTATTTTTACAAAGGTATGTTTTATCCATCATGATTTTTTATATCATACTCTTACAGTCTGAAAGAAAATACCAAAATTATGTATCCTAATGCAGGAAAGTTTGATCATGTTCAATTTTTCAGTATCAATGACTTCCTAAGAAAATAGTTTTCCACTGCAACAATGAATTTCTTATGCATTCTACTAGTGAGATTAAATTATATTCTGTATGAGTTTGTCTTATGCCCGTGACTGTTCTCCATTGATAAATCTTTGTAGAATATAGCAAGGTATAAGCACCAATTACATATGATAGTCTTGACAAAGCCTCATTCACAATAATGTATCTACTCATAAGAACAAATAACACAGGCTTTTTAACTCCGATTTAGAAAAAGAATTGTAAGGTAAAAATCATAGAACTGCTTAGGTTGGAAATGACCTTTAGGAACAACAAGCCCACCTATTAACCCAGCATGACCAAGCCCACTGCTAAACCATGTTGGTAAGTGCCACAAAGTGCCACATCTACATGGCTTTTAAATACCTCCACGGATGGTGGCTCAACCACTTCTCTTGGCAGTAAATTAATTTAATTGTAAATTAAATAAGACAGCCTCTACAGAGTAAAAAATACTCTTTGATTTATAATATTAAGGTATTTATATTAATCTTGATATAGATAACAAAGGTAAAAATAGTGGCTATCATCTGTCAGTTTTGTTACTTAAAATACTGTGTTTCCCTCTCACTGCAGCTTTTCATTAAAGATCTAGACTTTTCCAAAATTTTTCACATATGTACAAGGATTTATTACATCCAGAGTACTGTCTCAGAAGCTATCCATACACTAGTTAATATATAATTTATATAATAATTTATATATAATAAAATCATATTTGTGTCATCTAATTTTGATTGGTTTGTTATATATGGCTCAGATGAAAAGCAGCTCCACTTTCTAGATCTGAACCCAAAAGCAGCTCAGCCACTGTCTGGATTAAGTCCGCCAATGTGTAGTTAGTTCCAGAATTATCATTTCAGTTCGTGGAAGAATAAAAACAGAAAACTCAAACTGCAGTGATCTGCTTGTGTTGAGGAATTAAATACTTCTGCACTTTTCTCATCTTTGGTCTTTTTAACAATGTATTTGTAAATAACCTGTTCATTCATTTATAACTATATAGATGTATTAAATTCTATCATAATGAAAGAAAATCTCTATTGCAAAAATGTAATGACACAATAAAGTTGAATTACAAAGGGAAGACTATTTTTAAGAAAGTAAAGTGCTCCTGGTTTATTTGAATTGTGATGTTTATATTTCAGGAGCTACAAAATGCCACAGCATCTGAAGGACAAGTCGTGGTATTGGAATGCAGGGTCAGAGGACCACCTCCCATTCATGTTAAGTGGTTTCGACAGGGCATTGAAATTCAAGATTCTCCAGACTTCAGAATTCTCCAAAAAAGTAAGGCAATGTCATGGTTTAACTTTGGCCAGCAGTTGAGGACCATACAGGTCCTCATTCACTCTCCCCTTGTGTGCTGTGGAAATGAATTGGAAAAGGAAGAGTGAGAAAACTCATGGGTTGAGATACAATTTAATAGGGAAAGCAAAAGTCTCAGAAGCAAAGCAAAATAAGCAATCTTTTCACCCCTTTCAATGGGCAGGCAGGTGTTTCTGAGGAAAGAAAGGTTCTGTTAACTGTAAGTTGCTTGGGAAGACAAACGCTCCAACACTGAATGTTACCCCTTTCTCCTTCTTCACCCAGCTCTATATGCTGAGCATGATGTCACATGGTATGGAATATCACTTTGATCAGTGCAGTTTGGTTGTCCTGACTGTGTTCTCTCCCAATTCTTTGTGCGTCCCCACCCTCCTCACTATCAGCAAGATACAAGTAGCAGAAAAGGCCCTTATAAAAAAGTCTCTGTATTACCAACACTATTTTAAGCACACATCTTAAACACAGCCCAATACCAGCTACTGTGAAGAAAATTAGCTCTATCCCACTTAAAACCAGGACATTGTCCACCCTTTTATTCCATACCATTTATGTCATGCTCAGGTCCCACACTAGCCAAGAGATCCTCATGAACCACCACTTCTCATCCTTTGGTCTAATACACATTCCCTTAGTCTATCCCCGTAAAATTTCACAAAATCTACTTTGAGTTCAGTTAGTCCACGTCTTTGGGCTCCATCTTTTACAAAGGTCCTCAGGACAGGAGAAGTGGTGTGTTGCATGGGCTTACTGAGCACCAAAGCCAGCCCAGGCCAGGTCATCACTGCCCTTGCACTGTTTCTTGTGAGGGCTTCTCCTCAATGGTTTCATATTGTTCCTGGTATAGTAATTCCTATAACATGCAACTCAAATCAACAATTTAAAGGTATTGCCATTACAGTCTTCACCTGTGGTCCCATTGGACCCTAGCATTGGGTTTAACATTGCAATTAACTGCTCTCCTTGTTTCTAGCCTGGCTAGCAACAAGAGATTCTGTCTGTCTTCATCTCAGTCAGTTCCAGACGTACTGAACACCATGCCAAGTGAAAGCCAACTTGGCCTGCTCTCTGCTGCTAAAGGGATTGAGAAAAACACATTAGTGATGCCAGTTGTGGCATCCCACTTGGCTGCCTTTGACTCCAGTTCATATTGAAGTTCTAGCACATCTGGCACAGCTGCACTCAGCCACAAGCAGTTCAGGCAATAATCTGAAGTAGCTGTTTTTAATACAGGATGGAAAAAGATTATGAAACTAGTCTGTCAGGATTCAATTTTGGACAGAGTCCTTTCCTCTTCCCATTTCAGTGCTAATGGCTAGAAGTAATAACTGAACTGCTGCTACTGACAAACAATTTAAATCTCGCTGATTTTGAAAGGTGTGCACAGGTTCTCTACTTATTTACAGCATTTCAGTATAATATGTTTGTTCAGTACACTGATATTTATTAATGCAATCTCTAATGTAATTTTTCTTGTTTGTTTTCCCTCCTTATGATGTGATGTGATATGCAGAGCCACGATCTGCAACTGAACCTGGTAAGAATCATATGAAAAACTAATCTCTTGATTCACTAGCTCTTTGAGTTTGTACTGAAGCCATAAATAGAAAAGTGTTTCTGCTGAACATTGGTAAATTGAAACCCCCTTAAAGACAATGCTGCTTTATCACACCTCCCATACTGTACTCTGTCCTTTACATCAATTCTTTTATTAGTTAAACAGTAAATACCATTTAGACCAGCAAGGAGAGTAAATGGTTTGCATGCTACTGAGGGAAAAATGACAAGTCCCACGAAATTCCATTATCCAAATAGTGCTCATAAGAATTACGTAACACCCAACCGCTAAGTGCTAGTTTAACCAATCCAGCTTGGCACATGTGATGTGTCTTAAACACAAGTAAAACCTGATCCTGAAAAAAAAAGAAAAAAAAGAGGCACTGACTGAATTTTTCTAGCCAATTCACAAGATAAAAGTCCTAGATTTCAACAAGTAAAAAGTGTTTTTCCAGCTGCAGGTTTTCTCTGTCTGCTTCACTTTCCCATTATACATCATTATATACTGGGGAAGATTCTTGAATAGTAAGAGGATGCTAAAAGACTGTGAATGTTCTTTAATGTTTCTAAATCAAACATGTAGAAGAGAAGACAGCAATACATTCTTACTTTGCTTTAAGAGGGTGGCCAGTTGTGCTTGAATATTCTTGAATTTAGAGAGAGTTTTAATTATGACACTGAAAAACCCAGAAAAGCTTTCTGTCTAGGATCTGAGTATTTCTGAAGTATCTCTGAACGATGTTAGGAGTGGGGAGGTGTTTGAAACTCTGAGGCTTTAAATTGACAAGGCAGGCTAGACCCAGCAGCTGAGAGATATTTACAATGTAGCACTGTGACCATGAGGATACAGACTAGGAAAAATGCAGCTTTCCTTTAATTTCTATGGAAATGAGAGGAAGGAAAGAGAGAAAAATATTTTCTTTCTCAGCTATTCACTAATTTTCTTGCTACTTCACAAAATTGTTTTATACCTATTTTGCCTCGTGTCCGTTATACATATAAATTGCACACACACACCTGCACGCTCTATCCTGTCAGTTAACACTGTTAATCATGGTGTACAACATCATCAGCTCTAGTATTAGCTGATGCCCTGAATACATGTGACAGAATGATTTGATTTGTGGAGGCTTGAAATGTGAACCATTTGAAAGAAAGAAGAGTATTGGAAAATCTAATTAACCTCTAATGAGGAATTAAAACATATCCAAGTGCTGCAATGGGCTATTAGTACTTTGCAATCATAACACAAACTTTAAGGTTTAAATATTGTAAGTTAGGGTACAAAACAGTTTCAAGAGTGTTTCAATATTATATCAAGTCTTTGGATATGAAAATAAAAAAGGGAAGATAGGTTTGTGTTGAAATATGTTTAATACTTTATCTTTCTTAGAACATTCTCCTGTAACATGTATTACAGAATAAGTCTCCCAGTTGAGCTGTTTTCTTGGTATCTTAAAAAGAAAAAACAATCTGATCAATAGGTTGACTTTTCTTCCCCCTTCTCAGGGGAACATTTCTCCTGTCAAAGTAGCAAAATCTTTTCTAGATTTAATCTTGAAAGACCGCCAGTTTATTCACCAGCCTTCACAGACGTAAACGTGAACACCCCTTATTTCTATTATTAACATACCTTTTATAGGGTTCTACAGGGTCCGCGGGCAGAGCAAGCTACTATTGGCTAGTACACACAAGTTTACATTCTTATCCTTGTACACAAGAATATTGTTTTGCTTTACTCTCTCTTCTGCAGGCAAGTTTCAAGGATTTTAGCCCTTAATATTACGACTTATTCCAGAGGCTGGTTTGTGCAGACAGGCTTTTACTAATATATCGTGCCCCCCATCTGCTAAAAAACTCTCTATATTTAATCTGCCAGCATTATGAGAATCATACCTAGTATATCTGGCTTGTTCATATTAGGAGCTTCTTTCCTGCAAAATCACTTGAACTGTGTTCAAGCTGTCCTTTAACATGATAGATGGTATCTGAAAGGAGTGAAATTTTACGCAGAAGTTTCTAAGAAGTATGAATTTACCACCCCATCTTAGAGTTTTTAATAACCAATTAACTCTTAACTCTTCTCTCAAAACCCAGTCATGAATATTTGCTTAATTTTGGTAATTTTTTTTTACCCTTTCACCCTCTTTAGTAAACCTAATGAATAATGCTAGATGATTTTAGAGCAGGAATGCAGCAGCATCTAGTAGAAAGGAGAAGCACTTTTTAGCTAGAAAGAAAAGGTTTCCTTTGTGTACGTAGCTGGAAACCATACATTATGCTTCCTGCTAGAAGATTTTTTTTTCATGAACAACTGATTTTCATATCGTTAGTAGGGATTGTATAGCCTCTCTGACAGTTATTGCTGTGGAAGAAGAATGTTGATATTCGTTCACAAAACTATCAATTTGCTTTCATAACTGCTGCCTGAAACAGGAAATAGAAGGTGAGATTCTGAATCCAAAGAGATCATCCCTTTGCCAGCCCTCTCATATACCTGCATATCATCATGTTGAAAGTGCTGAATATTCTCCTACCCATTTCTGGCTAGCTTGCAGACCCTGAGAGAAGAAACCTTCTAAAGGGTACTAGGGAATGGATTCTTATATGAAAGGTGCGTTTCTTGACTCTTCTCAACTACAGAAAAGTTATTTAGTGTTGAGGTATCTCATATTCTCAAGGGATTTGGCAAGACAAGAATAGGAAGACATCTCAGTTTGGTATCTGTATTGTTGCAGTTTTATAGACATAACGGTAGTGAATGCTTAACTGCAGTCTGTCTGGTTTGTTGTTGGACTATTTCTTTTTTCATGCTTGTAATTATGTTGCAATGTATATTTATGAGCACCTTCCTGTGCTTTCTGCCTGTGAAGGAATTTCATTTTGGTATTTTTTTTCTCCCTGGATTCATTGAGCTAAGTACTATACTATCCCTAAAGATTTGTGCACTTATCTATTCCTACTAAGCCCTATTAAACAATACAGTATCTTAAATAATGTGGTGTCTTACACACTACAGAAATTAATGACAGTACATATACTGGCTTATTTGTGTAGGGATTGACACTGTGCATGAAAAGGGAATGTAAATAAAGTTTGGGAAAAGTGTAAATATTTCCTTTTGGCATAAATAATAAGCAGTGTTTTGTATATTAGTAGTACCACTGGTAATAAGTAACACTGGGTTTTAGAATGTCATGAAGAATCTTACAATCTGGATATGGGTATCAGAAGTGTAAGAGATGCAGCACTGGTTTGTGATGTAATTCATGCTCTTAGAAGCCAGACTAAACAACGCCTTCAGAGGAAATTTTTCATGAGCAAACACATAATTGCTATTCAATGCAGATGGTTAATACATATGCAAGATTGATAGGGAAGCATGCGTATGCTAGATGAGCATTCAGAATTTTGAAAGATGGACATGTTTTCTAAAGATTTTTCCAAGTGTAAAACATCCATGAAATTTTACATAAATTGTAACAAGCTGTAGTGTGACTTTAGCTGGTGGTTGTCAACTAAAGGCCAACCATCAATAAACACATTATAGAACTCAGTAACATTGGTTGTCCTTTGATAGGTCAGTACTAATGATTTAAAGGAAAAATATTCCATGAACTCACACAGGTAAGAAATTAAGAAGCAAAGAGGGGGTTTTGGCTACTTTTTTTTTTTGTTGCACTCTATCTACGCTAATGTGTTTTGCACTCCTTTTTCTGTCTAGACAGAAATCAGTTTGCATTGCAAATCCCTCCAGACTGCTTTGTGAATTAATAGCTAGTCAGATTACTTAAAGCCAACATCACAGTTTGTCAAATTACCTGTTCTGTACTTCTTTCTTGAACATTTTGACTTTATACTGATTGAATCCTTCAAAAACAGGCTGCCGGAGAATGAAAAATCCCATGGAATCACTTGCCAGCTGTTGATATTTTGACCATTACTCAGCTGTCTGGAGACAGCCACAAACTGTATTGAATTACATTAGAACGATTGTCTAACAGCATGTAAGAAGAAAACTGTATGAAGTAATTTTGCTTAAATTGCCAGGGAATTGCCACATATACATCCTTTTTTTCCTAAGCACAATACTGTGTATGTTCACCAAACACATCTCAGAAGATAATCATCACTTCTCTTGGATTGTGCTTTCTTGTTTCCTCTTTAACTGCTCTGTTTCAGAGTCTCCACTCTAATAAGTAACTCCTTTAGAGATGCCCCTCTATTTCTATATAATGTTTGAAACTGAAAATATATGGCAAGTGTTACAGGAATCCTTACCGCTTCCCTGCACCAAGAAAATCATCTTTCTAGTAGCTGATGAAATTCAAAACACAGAAGCTTTATTAGGTTAGCAGGTATGCCAGATCCTTGCACTTTTTAGTGAAAACAAGAGAACTACAACTAAGGATTGGTCTTCTTTCCTGCCGAGCAGAAAACAAGGGCTTAGAGAGAGCAATCTTCTATTGAGCTATATCTCAAGAAGCCAGATTAAGAGAAATATTGAAAATGGACTGAAAGTCCCTTTCATTTAAGGTGATCTGATCAATTTACATATTATTGCTTGTCAATTAAATTTTCAATTGTACTCTGTGCTCCCAAGATGCTCATAGAATTCTGTTCCTGCCAGTGACCTCATCTTAAATCTGACTGCTACAACTATACTTGCTTGTTGATGATTCCAAATTCAAAGTAAACATCTGATCTGTTTTGTACTACGTGATTTTTTAAAAAGATACTGTTATTCTTCTCCAATTGTGAACATTTAAAGCTTTTTAGAGTGCAGTAATACTTGCAGCTATGTTGCTGAATGTATTCATTCCAGCCTTGATGTATGTACCTAATTTAACTTCAAACTAGGTGGCTTAGGCATCTACAGTATCATAATTGACTTAGGGTAAGCTTTAGCATAAACTTTTTCTTGACAGTGATAAATAGATTAATTTCTCCTCAAATCTGAACAATGTTTTAGGGGCTAAAGTCTTTCTTGCCATAGCAGTGTTCCCTTTTATTGTACCAAATCTGGCCAGATAGCAAACATCTTAGTTAAAGATGACATACCATGTAACCTAGGCTCTCCACCTTAAAACTGCAATTTATTGCTCAAAATCACATTTGCTGTTGTTGAGGTTTCTTATCAGTCTTTTGTAAGTGCTTTTTTATCTTTTGAGATAGCGTCAAACATAGTTTGTGCATCTTCTAAAAACTTTATTCTGCATTCCTTGAGTGATATAAAGTTTATTAAATAAGCCAGAACTGCTGTCTGACTGGGTAAAGGTATATGCAATAGTGATCATCAGAAACAAGCAAACTGAATACATTTTTTTGTTATTTTATTGCAAGCTAAGGCATCTACAGGTCTGCTATACTACCATATATTATGCTACTCTGCATATTCTTCTCTATTTTCATGCTTCTCTATTCTCCTTATGTAAAAGATGCACAGATACCTAGATGAGAAGTAACCTGGTGGACCTATTGCTCTGGGTTAAACTAGAGTTAAACACTTGTGGAACATGAGGGAGGATAAGACACAAGGTGTCTGCAAGTTGGCAGGATTCTGTTTTGTTGGATTTTTATCAAGAAACCAGAACTGTGACTTCCCACTGTCTCTGTGTATCAGAAAATTTACAGCTTTGAACCTAAAGCTATGGAAATTGCTCTGTTCATTGCATTGGAGTGATCAGCTACTACCAAAGGACTGTATTTATTTCCCCAACTGTGTGTGCATTACAGTGGAGGAAGCTAATGGTCACATTAGAGATGAAGCTGTAGATATAAGAACTATTCTGCTTTTAATGTAATACAGAGAAACATTTTGTAGTAAACACATTGCCACTAATAAAATTTGTTAAAATGCAAGTTTTCTCTTACCGAAGTTTATTCTTCCTAATGGACTCATGAATCATAAAGGGAAAGAATTGCTCTGTAAAATGTAATCTTTCTTTCTAAATAACTGACAAAACAGTCAAGTACTTGCATGCCTAAGCATTTTACATGTTTCAGTGAACAAAATGCTTTTGTATTCATTTAGTCAAGTGTTAAATATGTTTTAAGGCCCTGAGAACAGCATTTCAGAGCTGCTTTCTGGAACACATTTCTGTGATGAAGTTACTTGTCAGCTGATGATCACCGGGAAGTAGAACAGACATTATTTCCTTCAAATCTTCCAATTCTGCTTAGCGCATAGTACCAGAAAGTAAAATAGTTACGTAAGACAGGATGTAAAGGCAGAAAAATACTCAGAACACTGAGTATATCCAGAGTATGTTATGGAAATCTTGAAAGAACCTTTCTTTTGCCAAATTAGTATTTAATTTCTGTGTTCCACAGTAGTAAGCCTTTTAGCAGGGACCTGGAGGTGAGTGATTCTTGGCTTGGAGGAGGAAAATTGATAAAGAAGATGGCAGCTTGTTGTTCACACATGCTTTTTGCCCATGCTGCCTTTGATTTGTTCTTAGGATTGTCATGTTTTCAGTTTAGCCAGTTTTCTTATGATTGATCACAAACATGTTGCAGTTTGTTCATCTAGTTGAAAAGACTAAATTTTAATCTCTGATTATTGTCATCATTAATTTACTTTAAAAATTTTTTTACAAAGATCGCTGCAATCTACCATATATAATTTTACAACATACCTCCTCAGTAAACAAAGCACATCATTGTAGAATCCATTAGAATTCTTTTGTCACTGAAGGGTGAAGATCAGCTCTTATGTGATCATTTTACACACCTAAAAATCTGGAAGAATGTTACGCATTAATTAGCTCTGCTGTTTGAAAAATAGGGGTTCTGCTGGTTGCTATGTTTCATAGTGTCTTTGCCATCATTCAGAGAGAAGTTCTCAGCCTGGTGGAGTCATCTTCTTTTACTGTCTTGAAATAGCCAGCTTCCAGCATTCTGCTGTTAAATGAGCAGGAAACTAGAATGCTGCCTGTGTAAGATTACATCCCCAGGGTCAGTTCAGTCCAGGAGTACGCACGTGTGGTTAACAATACAGCTTCAACTGCTTATGACACACCAAGGCTCGAAAAAAAGCTGATCTCAGTAGTTCAAAAACTAGCTTGTGTTACCCATTACTTTCCTGATAAGACCTTTCATGAGTCATTAATCTTCATCTGTGTTAGATAAGATCCAACGTGCTACAGTATTACCAGACATGACTCTTGCAGCTACACAGAATGACTGGTTTGTGTTGCCAAAAAAAAGGCATGTTCTGCTGTCTGAAAACCAACTCTGAGCCAAATATTTAGTCAGTCATTCATTTTTAGCCCATTTCCAGTACAGGAAGTTTTTGGATGCATTGTAATTTATAATTGGAAAAAATTCATAACTTTTTTGTTAGCTGTCTAAATGAGACAGTGGTCTGACATTCCACAAGGAAAAATAACAAAACAAAACACTATTTGAACTAAACAAAACACTATTTGAAAATGTTTTCCTTATTTGAACTATAAGAAGTGAAGTTGACCTTACTGAATCTCTTCTACAGAATAATTTTCATATGGAAGTTATTAGATTCTAAAGTGCTTTTCCTCATTTTACAGTATGCTTTTATTAGGTGATTTTGAGATAATATATGGGATTGTGTGTGTGTCCAAATGGCAAAATGCATTATTCTTTTTTTTTTTTAATTAATCTTAATGTTATAAAACTTCTCTGCTTTGGTTTTGAGACTAAAAAATCATCATAAACAAAAGAAACTCTGAATTAATTAAGGAGACATGCTATGTAGCATTATCCAGGTATAAAATTGTATCTGTATGTTGTGTAAATAGTAGGATTATTTAAATTATCTGTACTGAGACAGCTTTAAATAAAACAGAGTACCATTACAAGCAGAGATAAAAGACAATTACTTCTTTGAAGAAACTGAAAAAAATATGCCTAAACAGTTAAGTATGCCCATTGTAAATGGATAAAATGGATTTAGTAAAAATTACTGTAAGACCCAACCTAATATCCTTTGCACAAGTTTTCTGACAGAAGCCCTGATATAATCAAAGCATGTACCATGGCTTACTAAAGTAGAATGAACAAATTTAAAACATCTAAAAGAATATGTCTGGCACAGCATTCTGAAGGGTTTTTGGGGATACTGGTTTTTGTTACAATTTTAATGTATCCATTCTCAGTGCTGTGCAGACAGAGACAGATTTCCCAAACTCTGTATAAGGGGAATATTTATGCATCTGGAGTTTTTAGTTCTGGTTAGTATATACAGAAGAGCTAATTGGAAGTGATGATAAAATGTTTTCTAGTTTTACTGGGAATGGGATTTGATCTGAATGTTGCATTAAATACAGAAAAAGAATTCAGAGAGAGAAAGAAAGAAATGAATCGTGTGACATTTGTACTGATGGTACTATTTAGAGACACAAAAAGAGCTTGCAAAGAATTTTTTCTGGAAACCATTACATTCATTTGTGTTAATTAGTACTATCCTGCATTAAAAAAGCATTGAGTGTATAAAATGATTGCACAGACTTGTAACTGCGAAATTACTGTTCAAGCCAGTTTGGAAAACTTAGCTTGATGAATTTACTTCTTCCAGATGCGAAGTGATTTTCCTTAAAGTCATTTATGTTGGAAGTTCTACTTGCAGCTGGTGTCCTTTTAACATACAGTGCAAAAAATACTACCTGGTACTTTAAAGAGTTGGTGATACACTTTATTTTTCTGTTTATTTACAGAAGAGATATGTACACTTGTAATAGCAGAAACTTTTCCTGAAGATTCCGGAATTTTCACCTGCACAGCAACAAATGAACATGGTTCAGTAACAAGCAGTGCACAGCTAACTGTCTGCTCAGGTATGTGACAAAGAGAAAGAGGAGCTTTTAGTCATAGATCTTACATAATTAATTTACCTGTGAAGTTATCAGTCTGTTTTCTTTGTGGAAAATGGCTGCTGAAAGACATGGGGTTTGTCAAACTCAGTGCTTTCACATAAAGCAAAATTAATGTTTCTTATATTCGTTTCCTGGTTTAATACTTTTATTAATGTGAAATACATTTTTAAAGTTCTGCCACAGGCCTGGGTGTTTAGGGTTCAAGACTAGATAGCAGCAGAGGCAAAATTGAAGAGATGAAATGATGCTACTAAAGGTGGACTTCTGTAAAGTAAAACACTGTGATATGGTATGTTTAGTTTTTTGATATGTTTCCATATATATTGTCATGGGATGTACTAACCCAGCTGCCACTGCGAACTTGCCATGTATACATGTATTCTTCAGCATTTCAAAATTATTTGTTCCTCGGTGATCCTGAAACTCCAGGAAGAGGAAGTCCTGATTTAGCTGCTGTTGCTCATACTTGCCAATGTCAGTTAGTACCTTGATTCCTGAAATAGATTGAGAGAGATCCGCAGGGTTTCTAGTTATGCCTTTTACAAGGGGCAAACTCAGAAAATGAATAGCCATCCATATATCTAATTCAGCATGAATTATCAATAGGACTAGAAAAATACCTTCATAAAACCAGTGATATTTCACCTTTAAAAAACTGAAAATACACCTTGTATTTACCATGTACTTTGTCTATGACTTGTTGAAGAGACATTCTTTTTGATTTCTTTTAGCCAACTTGGAATGCTCTAGCGATGATTTCCATCATTTCTCACCACTTCCTCCAGTTGAAATTAGCTCCCTTGAGCTTCCTTCTAAGAAACATACAGATACCTACCCAGCAAACAACACTGAGTTGAGACCTGGTGTGCTAGACCTTCAACAACAGCTGAATTCATCTGAGGAAAAATCAAATGGCATTCATCCTCTTCATGGAGTAAATGGGATGATTAACAGCAAGCCAAACAGTGATAAATCCATCCCATCTCCTGCTGTCTTGCTTTCACCCACAAAGGAACCACCACCTGTGCTTGCCAAACCAAAGCTGTGAGTATTTTTGTTTGGGTTTTTTTGTTTCCTATAAACTTGACATTTGTTGACAGCAAATTTTTGCCTGAAGCAATTTAGCATTAGACAAATGGGCAGTCCTTTGAATGTGCCTGTCCCTTGAACAGTATTCCTGCTGCTGTGATTTATGTGCCAAAGAGCTGAATACAGGAGCCACTTATTTTCTTTACATAGTGCTATGTCAGAGTACATTCTCTGTCCCAATGCCTTTAGAAAGGTTTAAGATAAAGTCACAAATGGAGAAATACTGTGTGGCTGTTGCTCTGTGCCTTTTTTTCCCTAGTCACTGTACCTAAAGATCATAATGGCCTGAGAGTTTTGGATGCTATTTCTGTTTCAGCATTGGTTAGGTCTATTTTTTCTGCATGTGCTTCAGTATGTGTAGTCAGTGGATAGTCAAGTGTGTAATGTTTTTATTATTTCTTATGTTTATGTATAACACATATCTTGTTGTACTGTCAGTCAGATTACAATAGCTCTCTTATAGCTAAAAATCTGAGAAGGCAAAGCTCTAGGAAAGGAGAGATAAATGAGTGGTAAAAAAGTTACAGTAACATTTTTACCTTTTGTTAATGGTGATACCTTATGCATAAGCGATGTTAAGAATATTTGGAGTGTCATGAACTAAAACGCTACTTTGTTTCATTTGCATCAATAGTCAGAAGGAATTGTAAATTATAAAAATGTGTTTAAGAAGAAGCATGAAACATGGTCTTCAAGCTTAGCAAGATCATTTGCTTTATTCCATGTTTTCACAGGAAACTTGTAAAATATAAAAATGCTGTTATTTTAGCACTCATGTTGAATTTAAACACACAAAAACACATTTGAGGCAGCAACCCAGCAGTATTCCCTTTCTACCTTCACCACTTTTTCTTTCAGTTGCTCTTGGTCATTCTAAGCAGTCTCTGGCAGTTGTAGAAGGGAAAGAGGAGTGGAAGAACTAGAAAGACAGAGTAGTGAAATAACAGTATATATGGTGGTGGTTGCATGTATGGGAGGGAGGTTGCTGAGAATGGCAACTTGCAGATGATACGTGATATGGAGTAAGCCAGGTGGTCCTGTACCCAGCGTATCTGTTGCAAGACCCACTCATGAAGAAAGGAGATAGTGGCTCCAGCAGAGCCATAAAAGAGAAATTTCACCCCAGAGCTTTCTTTCCCAGAAGTAAGGTGGCCTGAGATAAGGGAAAGAATGTGGTATAAAAGACTTCTTTTGTTCAATTGTTGTCAATGTTCACTGCTATGCATGCAAAATTTGTTTTGTTTTTAAACATAGAGTCAACATAAAATACAGTAATGTGAGAGAGATGCTGTTACAAACGTCCCTTCAGTTGCTGATGTCGAAATTGATGATCTTGGAATCCCTAGTGTAATTACACTTGATTCCTATATTTTGTGATTAACAGCACTTGATGCATAAGACACTGATCTTGATTGCAGTCAAGATACATGTTTTATTTGGCCAAAGGCAGTGTTAGTCTGTGCTGCTGTCAGAAATTGAAATCTTGCCTTCTCCTCAGCCAAGTATTTTGCTCCCAAGCACACTGACAGCATAAGGAAGGGAAAGAGTGCCAACAAGAGGAGAAGAAGAAATGTCTGACTGCAGAGATTTGAAATCAAGTTTTGGCATTTGGAAAACTGCTTCCCTAGTAAAAGTGAACAAAGTAATGACATTAAAATTAGCAGAGTAATAAAGTAGCTCTCTCAACCATGAGAATGATCTCTCTTGAAAAGAATTAATCTATGGAATTGTATATGTCCATAGAGTATTAGTTGATAAAATCAGTACATGCTAGCAGTCAATAAGGGCAAACACACTTATTACAACCTTTTTTAAAAGTTATTTAAATTTTGAAATTGTTAACTATGGACAGAGCTTTAAGTTTCTGAAAATCATTAATAGGTTTGTTTTTCAGGAAGACTGGTTTTAAATTTCTAAAATAACCTTTTGTTTTCAAATTTATTTTAAATTAAACATTACTTAACAGGTTTATCTGTGAACTCTGAAAACAGTTTCTTCAGCCAACATTGGAAGTAATGCAAAGGGTTTGGGAATGAGAGGCTGGTTTTTGTTTTGTGTTTTTTATTATTACTTTTAATTTAACAAGGAGCGACTGAATACCTTCTTGAAGTATGAAATACATTTGCATTTTGGCAATGTATCTGTAACATACACCTATAAATAATGATTTATCACATTTCAATCTAATGCAGGAGCAGACATGCTACAGAGAGTTACTGTAGTTGTTTTCAGGCTTGAAGAGTGTTTTTAAAGTCCTAGAGAACATTCAGGTTTTGATTACAGACACTTCAGTAATCCTTAAGGCATCATTAGTTGTTGCTTCAGTCTGGTGCTAAGAATATTTAAGAGTTTAATATGACAATATAAAAAAAAATGTGGGAAAAATGTATATAGAATTAATTGGGGAAGTAATTAACACCAGATATTTTGCTAATATGCAATCTAGAAGACAATTCTAAATATGGTTAAAAGGTACAATATTTTGTTGTGGTTTTTTGCAACATGAATTTCTGTAGAGTGGAAGGACTGTTGAACTGAGACAAAAAAAACATTTCTGTGGTTCTGATGTCTGCTGCAGTGACCAGTTTGAGGAGCTTGAGCTATTACTGTGCCTTGGACTTTTTCAGTCTATAATGGTACAATGCACAGTTGAGGTTTCAGAAGATCCCTACTGATGTATGTTGTCCTAAGATATTTTGCACCTCTTAAAATTAGGCAAATGGTGTTAATATTAATTTCAGTGTGAAGTCTGTGCATGAAGGTTCTGCCTTAAACCCCTTACAATCCTCAGTGTAGGTGTTTGCAAAAAAGACACAACATTGTTCTGTAGAACTGTATATAACATGTCTATGGCTTCAGATGGAGAACTTCCATTCAAGTGGCTTGGTATTACTATTATTTTTCCATGTGTCTGTTAAAACAGTAAGAGAAAAAAAGATGGTGTTTGTATGGTTACTGGATGTACCTGTGTGATGTCTGTTGGCTTTGTAACAAGTCATTATTTTAAAGTTCACAGACAGTGTAACTGCAGTGTGGTACCAGAGCTTCCTGACCAGAGAGCTCCTCTGCAGTTGTCTCGTTTTCAGCCTCTTTGTGTTGGAGTATTACCCAAGTCTGTCATACACAATGACCACAAAGAGCATAAGCTTAAAGGGAGTTTATGATTTCCATAATAATTGCATTTTATATCTGCAAGCAGTAAGAAACTGCTTAGAATATATTGAGAAGACCTGGATAGAAAAACAGTATGTGAGAAGAGGCGACAGTTCAATTATTCAGGTAACTTTACATTCATGAGCAAAGGTCCATCCATATCAATTTAGTTTGTTTCATCTGCTGTGCTCTTTCAAGGTTGATAAGGACCTTTGGATCTTTATCTTGCTGCTACCCTCAATAAAACCTTGATCTTCATGTTTTCTACTGTAGTAGAAATAACTAAAGCAAACTAAATTTACTAAAATGTAAAGCAGGATAACTGCACATGAAGTTAATCCCTTGATAATAGTACAAGTCCAGAGCATTTTCTGCATCTGTTTTCACAATTAATATACAAATGATTAATTTGTAATCCTTTTTTTCCTCTCATTCTGTATCAATGCATTTTCAACCGAAGCAGAGTTAAAACAACGAAAAGTTTTGTGAAGCATTTCCATTTCAGTGATCAACAAGAACCTGGACTAGGGTTTATAATTTACTAATAAAAAATAATACGAAAATAGAGGAGGCTTTTTGAGAGAATATACTAACTAAGAAATAGGATTTTTCCCTATTTTCTCAGACTCATGTCTTATGCAAAAGTTGCAAATCCTGAACAGCAATAAAAAATGTTATAATGTCTTCTGGCATACCTGTGGACTGAATGCAGAAGATAACAGTAAGTTTAAAACAAGGCATTAGTTGTTGTTTTGATGATCTTGGATCAGTCTGAAAATCTCTCTGAGACCGCCGGAAGACAGAAGAGAGGAAATAGGAAGTGTTATGAAATATAGGTTGAAAGTCACATTTCATTGCCTATTTCAGATCAAGGAATAGCATGATCCAAACCAGTGGCAGCTATCGCTGAGAAATTTCCTTTTTACTTGTCTTTGTTAACATAGTGTCAAAGGGTAATCACAAATGAACTTTAAGCCTTTTAAAACCTGCAGCAATAGAAGTCTGAATTTCTTTCTAACAATAGATGTGAAAAACAAGAGAGGTTAAAGGTGATACATTTATTTCTTAGTTTTTTTCTACTTTGGGCACTGATGTTTTCTGACCCAAGCAGGTGGAGACACCTAAGTGTACATCCTGCATACATAAAAACTAATCAGTATTTTAACCAGAAAAGTCAAATAACCTTGAAACAGTCATGAAATACATATACTGTGTGTGCCACCATCATGGTGTGTGCACAGGACTTTAATATTTTTTCAGATTTATAATTTAACACTGAAAATAATTCAGTTAATAGGACAAGCGGGGACATGAGGGAAATTAATAGAATCATAGAATGTTTTCAGTTGGATGTACCTTTAAGGATTATCTAGTTCCAGCCCCTGTGGAATGGGCAGGGACACCATTCACTACACCAGGCTGCTCAAAGCCTGTGCAGCCAGCCCTTGAATGCTTCAAGGGATGGTGCATGCAGCTGCTTCCCTGGGGAACATTTTCAAGTGCCTCACCACCTTCACAGCAAAGAATTTCTTCCTAATATCTAATCTAAACCTCTCCTCTTACAGTTTAAGCTATTATTCCTTGTTCTATCACTGTTATATCCTAACGGCTCCAGATTTCCATAGGCCACTGGAAGGGCTGCTCTATAGTCTCCCCAGAACCTTTTCTTCTCCAGGCTGAATAATCCTGGCTCTCTCAGCCCATCTTCATAGGAGCAGTGCTCCACACCTCTGAGCATCTTTGTGGCCTTCTCTGGACTTGTTCAAATGGGTCCATGTCTTTCTTATGTTGGGCACCCCAGA